ACAGCCATGGGAATTCTGGGAGTTGAAGTCCACCCATCTTAAAGTTGCCAAGGTTAAGAAACACTGCGCTAAGCTCTCATAAGGAAGAATCAGCAACACAGTCCATATCCATCTGGGAATATGTCTAATTCCCTTCTAAAGCCAGCAGCCATCACCACCTCTTAGCTGCATACATTAAAATCGGAAACCAGATGATCAGAAACTAACCCAATCTGACTCACAAGTTTTTAACCTCCTGGGCTCGCCAGCCGAGTGTCTTGGTATTATGAAAAGCCAATCACAGCTTCTGTTGGGATTATTGTGTTGGCTTTATCAAAATGAGAAATCAATGCATGATTTCATGCGATCCGTCGGGAGCGGAGTCCTGCACGAGGATTAATGGAAAGCGTCTTTGTAAATTACGCTCAAGAGGCAAATTGGAGGCCAATCTTCTCTAGCCTGGGTGTGTTGGACTCTTCACACCCAGCCAAGCAAGAACGACTGCCAGTATAGATGTATGTGCAAGAGAGGGAGAGAGAGAGAGAGACGGAGCAGGAGAAACTGCCACCCACCCCGAACATTTGTTTTCTGAACTTTCAACAAACATCATCTGTCCGACAAACAGGCAACCTGATGTGCTGCAGATGTTTTGGTCTTCAACCTCCACCAGGTTCAGACAGAAGGGCCAATGCCAAGGAACGGTGGAAACTGCAACCCATAACATCTGAAATAGATCAGCTTGCTCAACTTTCTCTGGATGTAAACAATGCCTTAAGCCGCAACCCAGCTTGTCTGGTTTAAGGCTAAGTGGGTTGTGCTGGCCAAATAGGTTGTATTCAATCAGCTGTGATTTAGCACGTGAACTTCTGGGTGCCGTTCAAGATTTGCAACCCTTGACGGCATAGGGCCTGGTTGGATGAGGAACCACCTCTCTCCCAGAGTCTCGTGTTGCATATCCTGCCCATTAAACAATCCCATCCGATGGGATCCAGACACGCACCTTCTCTGTCGTGGCGCCTCCCCTCTGGAACAGCAACACCCCCAGAGACTCAGACTGCCCCAAATCCTCAGTCTTTTAAATGATCCTTAAACACCTGTTTGATCCCCAAGCTCTGGATAGGTCAGGAAGTATCCACCTAAAGTGTATTTTTGGTTTCAGTAAGGTATATGTTTGTTCCCTCTCTTATGTTTATTCTCTTTTGCTTGCTTTTTCATCTGCATGCTGCCCAGAGTCATTGTTGAGTTGGGCGACCTTACAAATCTAAATTATAAACAAATAATTAAAATAGTTTTCCTGGGACTGGGGGTTAGTTTCATCCTTTTGTTTCTCAACTCCACCGTCTGACCACCGAGCAGCAGAGTTTCGTGTGTTTCCTGCCTCCAAACGGTAGGCACGCCTCATCCCCCCCCCAAATTTCTCAGCTTTGAGGGGTCTCCAAGAATCACAGGTTGTTTCCCCTCCGTCAAAGGACCAGCAGAGAGGTCAGCCCAAACTCGACCCAGGAACGTCCTGCATGTCAGCCCTCTTTCTGAGATTCCAGGAACGAGCAAGCTTGCGTGTCCTTTCCTCCCGCGTAGGAGGAGCGTCTTAAAAAGTTTTTTTACAATGCAAAAGGTTGGAGATTAAACCCAGCAGGTCTCAAAAGAGGAAGAGCAAGAACGACCACAGAACCTGCTGGAAATTAAAAGAAAAAGAAAAAAAAAAACACCGAGGCTAATTCTGGGGAAATGATAAACTGCCGGAGCTCAAATGCCCGAGTGGATCGGAGCCCACCAAGGAGAGTGGTCGCCGTGCCAGAACTTCTATTGTTCAGCATTCCTGCTCTGCTCCAAAAATAAGCCCTCCCTTTTAGCCTCCTTTAATGAAACCACTCCACGGGAGCCCACGAATAACTCTATTCAGACAATTAAAGCAAAAAAGACGACAAAGTCTCCAACGGTGCGGGAACCATCTGACAGGTTGGAAGGAGGAAGGGAGCAGGCTTGGGCTGGGGCGCTCCCAACACCTCCATCGCACCGCTTGTCAGAACATCCACAGATGGAGTAAACAAAGCCTGGGTCCTTTCCTCCGACGAAGTGGGAGGAGGGAGGCTCTGCAGAACTTGGTTCTGGGCAGAAGCAGAACGCTTCCAGCTTCATCCCTGACAGCGCGCGGCCTGGCGCTCTGCCTGCTGGCGCCATGTATGATAATGAGCCTGCCTTCAGATTTCCGAGCCCTGGCTGAGTCTTTGTGGCTTCATTAGCAAAGAGCGGGCTTCCAGGCATCCATGCCCAGGGAAAACAAAGACACTTTCGAGTTGTTTTGAAAAGTCTTCACAACCCGTCTCCCGGGCTTCCACTACCAGCGCTGGGTTTGTTGTTCCAGGCCGAGCGCTTCTCACAAATAAGGAATTTGCGGGCGAGCGAGACGGAGGATTCTGTGTTTCTCTGCTTCTTTCTGCCATCTCATCCAACCAGGAAGGGGAAACTTGGTTAGCTCCAACTTCCAGGTGCCCACCTGGAGTTCTGGGGAAGATTTATTTAGACTGCTGGGCTAAGATGGGAGAGGCCCGGGTCCCAATCCCCACTCAGCCACAAAGGTAACCACATGGCCTCTTCTCCTCCTATCAGAGGCAACTGAAGCCCTTAAAGGAACTGTTCCGACATCACCTTCACTAACTGCTCAACTGAAATGTGGTTAACATATACATTAGGGGGGAAAAAAAGAGCTAGATAGTAAATCAAGAAAGGTTTTAGACTGCCCATGGGGGATCTCTCATCTTAGACCCCTCTGTGTTCAGCTCTCCATCCCTCCAAGAAAACTAGCCCACAGAGGGGGAAAAAACTCATTCATACCTGTTTGCTTCCTACAGGGCTGCCCTTGAAGACCGCCCAGAAGCTACAGCTGGTTCCAAATGCAGCGATGCGAGTGCAACAGGCCCTTCTCGTGGCGCCCGTGGGTCACCACGGCTGTGCGAGCTGCGTGGGCGACCAGCTGGCTTCCGGGTGCAGTTCAAGACGCTGGTTGTTCCCTTGAAAGCCCTCCGTGGCACAGGGCCTGGCGATCTGGGTGACCATCTCTCTCCTACTCCTTCTGCCCACCTGGTAGAGTTGGGCTGAGGGGGTGAACTCCAGAGCCCTTCTATTAAACGTGGCATCTGGTGGGACGTAGGAAGCGTGCCCTCTCTGTTCATGGCCCCCTCTGAAGCTGCATCCCCCCCGAGATATGGGCAGCACTTACTCTCCTGGGATTCCAAAGAGCCCCTAAAACCTGACTTTGCTCCCAGGTCTGCAATTAATATGGCGGGGAGGGGTATGTTGCCCTGTGTTCGAATGAGGTTTTTAGTCTGGGCTTTTGTTCTGCTTTGTCTGCGTTTTTAATTGTTTTACATCTAGTATTCTATCCAGAGTCTGCTGGAGGGGGGGGGGGCAGCTAAAGTAAACTTCATGAAATAAATAAATAATAAAATACAATACAATTTTCACGCAGCGCTTTTAATGGCAGGAAAGGAGACGGAGGGTAGAGTGGGGAATAGATGCTAATCGTGAGTTCCCCGCTTTCTCTTTGAACACCCCAAGCTCCAACCATTTCTCTCCTCTCTAGAAGTGGAAAAGTAGGAGAGCACCAAAGGGTTGTTCTTGGGATTGAAGGAGGGGAGGGGAACGAAGACTGGGTCAGCGCTACCTGTTTCAAGGAAGCATGTAAGGACGAACACCAACAGGTAGTGCCTTTTCTTAGGATAAAAGCTGTCACTGTCCTAATTCTTCTTTGGTGCAGATGTGGAAGAGGAGAAGAAACTTCGATGCTCGTGAGAGACCATCGCATCCCTACCATTTTGCCTGAGAGCCTAAGAAAGGGACGGTGGGCTGTATATACCCTTTCTAGAGGTTCTGTCTCTGCCGATGGAGGGTTAGAAGAAGGTGGGGAAAACTAACTAATGTATGACTGGCAAAGCCAAGGAGAGGAAGGCTGTTAATCCGTAAAACCTGGAACTTGTTCAGGTAGAAAATACTCCTTTTTTAAAAAAAAACAAAAGAAAAACTGGAGGGGCACCAGAACTGCCTCAGCATACGCTTTGGCTGCTGCTTGGTGGGGAACGAACCCTTCTGGCTTCAGGAATTTCTCCCTCGGGTGATTTTTCTGGCTTGCCCTTTCAGGAAGTGAGATTTTCCATGCCAGACTCATTTTGTGACTGTCAGGGAGAAAGGAGAAGGCATTCCAAGAGACCTCGCTGGGACGTGCACCAACTGTGTCCACCAAATGGTTTTAAAAAAAAAAAAAAAAGGAGGGGAGGAGACTGCCCCAATTGAGCTTTTAAAAACAAAGTGAAGGAGGGACAGCTGCCAGCCATTACCTAATGCAGTGTTGTCCAAACTTGGCCACTTTAAGATGAGTGGACTTCAACTTCCAGAATTCCCCAGCCAGCTGGGGAATTCTGGAAGTTGAAGTCCA